GAGGGAAAACAGCCAGAAAGCCATTACCACATTTCTCCTAGAATATAACTACCTTCTTTGGGTTAACTACTTTTTCTTGGGATATATGCCAAGAGAGACTGTAAAAATGGGGCTTGGTTCCAGATTTCCAGTACGCAGGTATTAATTTTTAGGTCCACTGCCTGCCACTGCCTGTTCCCTTAGCCTGAGTTGGTTTTGCTTAATTTTGTTTATATTGCTGTTGATTCCTGAAGATCTTAAATCAGAATAATTGTGTGTAATTCACCTAAAGTGGAGTCAAATACAACTTAAAACAGTATTTTATTGTCATCTCGTGTTTAACTGGGTTGTACACACTACTTGTACAAGGAGTTCCTTATAGAAACATCCAATCAACAGCTTAAAAAGCATAAGCAAAGAATGTACTTCTACCTCACTGCACTGAAGGCACAGTACTTTGTAGGAACCTTTCTGAACAAGGACAACCAAGACTTAGATAAGCAGTTGTAAAATACTGCTCTTTGGTAGGAAGGGGAAGGACAATCCCTCGAGTCTTTCTTTGAATGGCCCACGTGAACTGTGCAATGGCATTTGTTTTGTTTTAAAGTATCATTTATCTGACCCTACAAGAGGAAAAAAAAAAGGATTTCTGTGTGCATTTTCTTTTTAACGGAGTGGTGGTGGAGCTCTGTGTGTTATCTAATCTAGTAGAAAGTTGCATGTCTTTTTTTTTTCCCCCTCTCTTACATAACTATCACATCCTGATGGTAACACAGTGAAAGATTAGAAAATTGAGGTTTTTTTCTTGTTTAGTTAAATATGCCAAAGGTGAAATAATGCACCAAACCCAAAGCTTGAAGAATCAACTGTCGCTTAAAGACATAAGAATGACCACACTGGGTAATACCAAAGTCCAACTAGGCCCAGTACTCTGTTTCTAACGGTGATAAAAAATGAACATCTAGAGAATAAGGACGAGGTAAATATACAGTCAGATTTCTCCCCAAATAATCCCCCAGATTCCAGGGATCTGTCTCTCAGGGGTTTCCTGACACAAAAGTGATTATTTTTATGCAATGGACTCTTTCCTATGGACTTCTTTATACTCTTCTTGAACCTAGCTGTAGTATGCCAGGCTCCAAAATTACTTGCTATCCAGAGGATTCCCTCTTTTCTTGGAGCATACTGCTGACATATTTAAGAACAAATCTGAAGTCTGTATCTTTACTCTAATGACCTGCTTCAAAGTCTTTCTACAATCACACAGAACAAACTTAAGCAAAAATCAATCTTTTGTCTATCTGAACCTAGGCAATTTTTTTTTCCTTGATGCATGGAAGTCCTGAGTTCCCAAGAGAAACCTAAGAAAATAAGGGTAACTGTGAATGTAGAGAACAGCATGTATCAGAAACATTAGGAGACAGTAAGGGGTTACAGTTAAGTACTGCTAGCAGAAGGAGAAGCTCTGAAGAAAAGTACTAACTAAAGATAGATTTCTAAAACTGGTGGAAGCAGCATAAAATGGCAGGCTCCCTATCCCATCTATGCATCCATCCTACCCCAACTCCCTTCTTTCACTGCTTTTAATTGTTTTAAAGCGAAGGACAATGGGAAAAACCTCAACTCTTCTGCTCCAGGACCCCACAAGTATTTTGTTCCTGTACATTGGGAATTATGAAAAATAGCTGATTGTAGCTGACAATACTGCTTGAATCATCAGTACGAATGCTAACATATGACCTTTTACTAGAAATGGCCATGGTGGAAAGAAACAGGTTTTCACTTCTACTTGTTTTTAATTGTTACTGCAGAGGACAACCTTACTATCCTAACTCCAGCTTTTTAAGGAAGTTCCACAAACACCCGAACTTTGTCCTGTTTTATTTTTCTTCTCCATTTCCGTAGGTAATCTAATCTGAAATGCAAAATAAACTACTGTTGTTCTCTTTAATGATGGCCCACAGTACTTCTTTCAGAGTTTTACTTCTGTCCAAATTCTCTGCTTATCTCCCCGATACTTTGTGAAGGGTCAGCTCACACCTGACATGTCTAAAACCCAATCCATAGCCCATTCAAACCATTCGTAATTCAAAGCATTTTACCTTATCCCGCCACCATTCAAGTTCACACTACAGGCACCTCTTTTACTTTGATCCTTCCTTAGACTGTCACTTCCTAACTCACGCCATTTTAAAATGAATTATTCTAAGAGATTATCTTTCCTATCTCTTCACGTTTAAAATATACTCATGTTCTCCCCCATATTTCAATTACCATAACATCTTTTTTTCTTTGACTTTAGGTACTTGAAAGATGCTGTAAAGGCAAAGGATGCGGTTTAGTGGATGAGTTCAGACAAAACGTCTTGATGTCAATCCAGATGTGTCTGGTTATTTCCACTCATGGCATCTTTGACTGTAGCCCTCTTAACAACCTTCAGTATCATCCTCCAGCCTGTCATATGTGAAATACAGCTAAAGACAAATACAGCTTTGTTCCTTTCATAAGGCCATAAATTAATTTTCCTGATGTGTAAGTCTTGCCTGGAAGTTCTTAGAGGAACCGTTATATTTATCTGAGACTTCTAGATTTATGACAGCCTTATAACTTAAAAAAAAAAGGCATTGTAGCAACTGTAAATACACAGCACTTATGCAATAGACTTTCAGCTTTCATTAGAGGCTGACATACATCTGGAAACCCTGAACATTTCCCCATGAAAATGGACTGTTGACTACCACTTAGTTTAGGTAAAGTAGATCAGGTACTTCCCCAAAAGCACTCGACTAACTATTTTACACTCGTGGAAAACAAAGTTTACCACACCAACTGGCTGTTATGGCATAGCACACGCACAGCAGGTCTAAACAATGAAAGCATCGGACCCCATCCTATGGGCATGCCACACGAAGTGCTGGGAACATTCAAGAGAAGAGGGAGAAATACATAAACCCGAAGGACAAAGAGATTTTTCTTAATCTTGTAACTTTTATCGTGTCCTCCATTAAAAAAACTAACGCAACGGAAAACGGGCCAGCCCAAGCGGCCGGAGGCGAGTGTGGGCATCAGCCGCCGGGAGGGCGGCCGCGGACGGGCTG